TTTTTTTTTAGGTAACTGGTTCCTCAATACTAAGGATAGAGGAAATTTAATGAATTGTTCCATTAATAAATAAAACATTTTTAATGTTTCATTTTCTTCTTTTATAGGTTTCGGACTCTTGTATATAAATGAGTAAACCACTGGGAATGAAAATGGTAAGTCTTGCAACACCTACGAAACTTGGGTTTTCCTTATTTTTTAATAACTAATGTTTTCTTATTTTTATAGGTTCTGGCTTTGAATTTGGACGTTAATTAGGAATCCTTGGTTAGTTTCGAAGTTGGACTTAAAGCTCTTCGTGATGTCAAAATGGTGAGTTTCAAAGTTACATACTTCAAATTTTTTTTTATTTAATTTTCTTTTTTAAAGAAACAATTATTAACATTTCCTGCTTCTTTTGTAGATTTTGGACTTGGATGGTAAGTTTTGAAGTTAACTAACTTTGGAAACTTTTCTTTTCATTTTTTTTTATTAAAAACACTAACGTATTTTGTAGGTAATATTTAAACAAAAATTTTTTAATTGAATGAAGTCATATCATTTGTTATGTATTATTGTTTCAAAATAGATTCTTATTTTTGGCGATGTAATTTGGGTGAAAATTAACAATATGACACTTTATAGCAATTAGATATAATATTTTTAGCGAATATTAAATAAATATTTAATAATATTATTTTTATTATAACTTTATTTTAAATGTGATATTGCATAGTGTTGTTATTAAACTTATATTGTATTAAAATTATTTTACTATTATACTAAAATGCTTAAAGTCTTATTATTTAGTCCTAAAATATTCGTTTACAATTTTCTTACTAGTACTATTAACGAGCTTGTTGATAGGTCTAATTTATTCCTATTACCAGCCTATTAAAATAATTTTATTAGCCTTATGTCGAATTTGGGTTTTTTTGTAAAGTTTTGTTAAAAGGATTAATTCAAAGCAAACTTTACTATCAGAATAGATTTTTATAACAGTAATTTACAATCCTTATAACATGTATTTTAATAGGGTATTAATATAATTAATTATACATGTTACCATGGATGCCAACATAAATATTAAAAGGGTTTGTGATAAATCTAACTTATAATATTAATATTATAAGTCCTTACAAAAGGATAATTATTAGGCCTTATGTAATCATTTTTTTTTATTAAGTAAATAATCATTTTATTATGTATGTTAGTATAACTATTTAAAGGATGACTTTCATACTTCGGCATTTGTTGTGATGTTAGTACTCAGTAGTGGGTTTGAGAAGATTAATATGGGAAAAAATTAATTAGCTCTATATGTATTTTTACAGGTTCAAGAATTCTTAGTTATGTATATTTATTTGTATTATTATTAGCATAGAACTTAGTAATTTATTTTTTTGCAAAAATATATATATAGCTATAAAATCCCAATGATTTTTTTTTTCATTGCTTTTAAAAACTCGTTTTTATTGCATGGCAATACAAACTTTCCAATGCAAATATCAGATTTCTTAACTGGTGATTATATAATTGAAACTAAAGAACAACTCAATCAGAGTAACCTTAAGACGTACGGAAATAAATAATAGAAAAATAAATATTTATGGTATTTTATTAATATTTTTATTTGAATGTCAGTATGACACGTTACAATTATTTCAAAAATTCTAAAAAGAAAAAAAAATGTTTTAGAATATCCTTGACCCAAATTGATGAATTATTGTATGATGAGTTCCGATTAAGAAGTAATTGAAATATTAAAGTGATTTATAACATGAGAAGAATGACAACAAAAATTTTAAAAATTTAGAGTATAATTTTTTGGGTAATCTTAAGCAAGAAATATTTTCAATGATATAAATTTTTTTGTTTCTAAATTCTAACCATTCTATTTGAAAAAAAAAAAATAAAGGGAGAAAAGATTACAAAGGAATATTATTGAATTTTGTAATCACTTCTTTTGCATTTCAGCACTTGAAATAATTAGCGCAGTAAGGAGTGAGGCGCAGCTAATGAATTTTCGGTGAATGTCTAAATTTACTAACAAATCTGGTTAATCAAAAAAAAAAGCACAAGAAAAATTAATTTTCATAAAAGTCAGGGCACTAATTCTGGAATGCATCCGCATAACAATTTTTTTAGCTTAACAAGAAATTTACTAGGGAGTAAAGATAATATTCGTTATTAAAAAATTCCATAAAATTTACAGTCGTATGTTTTAAAATTGGAAATTAAGTAAACTATTCAAAAGTATTTATAATACATAATAAAGTTGAAAATATTTACCCTTTAAGATTATCCATTGTTTTTAGAAAACATCATATTCCTTTCTTTTTTTTTTTGAAAAATACAATAAAACTTCAAGGCTGTAAAAAGAGAAAATATAATTCGCCGTTTATATCGTCAATGTAATCATCTAGATAATTAACGCCATAGTTTCACGTTATTTGTGGGCGAATTCTTCAACAAACTCTTAAATAATTTGATTTTTTTTTATTGTAGCAATAATTCTAACAAATAAAAATTTGGAATTCAAAAAAAAATTATTAATTAGTAACTTCTCAATAAAGTTTTAGCTATAAAAATTTTTTATTTATTGATTCATATAAAGAATTTTATTTTTTTTCTATTTCAAAAAACAATATAATTGTAATTATACACAGGTTTAACTTAAATAGAGAGACATATCAAATTTCCGAGCGTGATATGCTATTAATAGTAGAAAAATAAATGGGACCAAGACACCAGGAAGATGAGATGAAACTGCAAAACTAATGGCTTACCCCAGCGTAGAATCCATTTCTGTCAAGTGCATTAACGTCATAATCTTTCTCTGTGATTATCTTTCGGAGGACGTGGACCAACAAGAATTTGGACGCCCACCAAGAACTATGTCGAGTAGTTTGCCGTGGTCTATACAGAATTCATCTAACTTAAATAACCGTTCTTTTATTCCAACTGCATAATTTCCTTGGATAAATAAATTAGAATCATCAATGAAAACGTAAACAGAATCGTTGGGGTTCGTTTATGCTCAAACTAAATGGTGTATAGCCTCCAACAGGCCCTGCTTTCTTTCAATATTCTTTTTTTGGAAGATTTATTCTCCATAATGTGTACTCATCGTGTTTATCAAACACGTAATTGTCGTTTGCCTTAATTTTTTTTAACTTTGTCGATAGTATCTCTTTCTTCTACTTCGATAGAAAATGTAGCGGTATGTGATGTTGCCATAATGAAACATTGAAACAATGCAATAAATGGTATAATTTAATTAAGGGGGTTAAAAATAATGATTCTGCAATGCGATGATCAGTTTTGACATCTTTTATTGGTGTTTACCAACAAAATAAGATCAACATTCTAGCGATCATTGCGGCGATCATTTATGACGATAATTGTTTATGCCAAAAAATAACTCGTATATTTCTAAGCTCTCTGAGCGTCTTGCCACTCAACCATTAGGACATGGTTCCTAAAACCTCCATTTTCCATAACAAATTTATGCCAAAAAATGTAATGAGCATTAAAAGTCTATTCATTACTACTTTTTTATTAATACAGTAATACTTTTGCAATACTATAAGCAATTTTATTTGGAACATGAATGAGCAATTTTTCTGATAGCTGAATTTACCAATTATATATACAAAAAGTAATAATTATATTTATGAAAATTTAATTATTTATAGCATGAGGAATTTTAAGAGATTGTAAAGATTGTACATTTCTAGATGAGAGTTTGCACTTGATTATACAATAACCTATTATAAAAGAAATAAAAGCTGTACCAATAATCGATCCAGCAATTATGACTATAAGTCCAAGTTCTGAGATCGTCGTAGGTGAACCAGAAGATATTATCGTCGGTAATGAAGTTTTAGGCATATCAGGAGATATTCTGTTATAATGCAATAATATTTCAATTTTCAAGAGAAATAACATCAAACCAAAAATTTACTTAATTTACCCATAAAGATCCCATTTTGAAGCATTTAAACAATCAACTTGAGTCACAAAATTATCTTGAAGATCTTTACCATCCGCACAAAAACCAGATGCTAAGTTCTATTTTGAGGATAAAGTAATTTTATTTACTACTAAAATAATTAATATTATTGAGGATTGAATTCTTCACCTTTATTAAACATGAAGAGTGATATTTTATCCAATACTCTGGCCCATTTGCATTGAGATTACAGGCATCACATTCGATAGTGAATCTTTCGTTTTCGCTATTATTGCTTTTAAGATTGAAAAATATATGATTTATAATTAAGTATAAATATGAATATATTAAAGAATTAAGTGTTACTTCGTTGATAATATGTAGAAAAATGAAGCCCAACGCAGCATAACAACATTATAGACGGAGTATTTTTTTTTTTTTACGATATTGATTAGGAATTAGTTGAACCAACTAAAACCATCTTATTTTTGTATACATTTTGTTTACTGCTTATACACTTCGTAATTTCTCTATTTCGTTCAAAATTCATCATGAATTTTTCGTGTGTTTTGTGTATTAATCATTTTCTAAGAATGCAGTTTCCATAATTTCTGGTTCTACTTCATACCCTACGGGTAGATGAATCTAGGCAGCAAGACACTCAGTTTAAAGGTTGCATATAGAACGTATAATATAACAAACTAGTCTATACATGTAAGTTCGTTCCCTTCAGATGAGCGAAGGCGAATCCTTGGATTAGATTTTTCTACACACATTTAGCGAATTTCCTCTCAAATACCAACCTCATACTAACAATGAAATGATCACCGATGTTATTGATACTTGCAGCCGGTATTTCAACGACTATAACACCGGTTAAGAAAAAAAAGTTAATTAAGATGCAAAACAATATATTCATCATAATTAATTTTTATTATTTACTCATATTTTGATAAAAACTAATGAATGGCCGAAACTCATAAACACGAATTATTGATTGCTTCAATACGAAAATTTCATTATCTGAAGGTTGGGAACCAGAGTTCCAAGTTCCAATCGCCGGGGAAGAATTGTTCGGGTATCTTTACAATTTAAGGCCATTATTAAAATCAAGTTAAATAAAATATAATAAATAAATTCTTTTATGTATCATACAGATTGAAACCAAGTATATTGAATCGATAAGTTGGAGAGGTTGATAAACTTATAGAAATAAAATTCCCGTCCTTGATTTCTGGTGAACATGATGAAACTAACACAACAAGAAAGCTAAAAGCTTGGTAGAATAAAAAAAAAGAAAATAAACGCATAGTGTGTGCAAAAAAGAAGTGTATCAGAAGTAAATAGAAATGCAAATTCAAATGATCTATTTATATTTGTTTCAGAGAGATAAATGGATAAGATGTACAAGTTATACACATTTATTTGATAAGAAGACCAGACTTAATATAGTAAAATAAGTTTTTATAAAAAGAGTGACGAGTATATATGGTAATATAATGAGTAATATATTTTGCGCGCATTACTCCGTGTGTTGATCTAAAATTATCACATGCATTCTGCAGATTGGCGGACATGATTCGCACGTGTGAATATTCTCGAATTATCAAATACCATTTTCAAATTTAATAAATTTAATGAATAGCCCGTTCAATTCTGGTCGGTTGCATTTTTCAGTGGACTTTATTTTACTGTGCCACACATCATGTGATCTCACTAACCTGAAAAGGTACAAGATTTCTTTCCGACTACGAGGCTGTGACCTAGGGTCATGGTTGCCATGATGAATACTGTGGCGTAACTCACCATGCAAACTGAAGAATTTATTAGTTCGCCTTGTTGTTTGATGGATCCTTACGACTGCAAGAAAAAAAGTAATAGAGACATACTAGCTAAGGCATTATATTAATAAGCGGAATCATTTTCAAGCGATGATCTCGTTATTTCATCATTAATACAATAAAGGTGTAATTTTTAGTTCATAATTTATAAGTAATAGTTATTCACGAATATCAATGATTTTCACGGCGCAGCAGCGACATGAAATAACTCTTTTATCTTATGGAGACTAACGTCCAGTGATGGGAAAAAGTGGGAAAAGTATAAATAGACTATAAAACACGTAAGCATGAAAAACAAATTACAGGCATGAATATATCATCAAAAAAATCAGACGACAGTCTGGCGACCAATTAGTAAACATGGGATAAAATATATTCTTATATAACAAATCAATCCCAAAAGATCGTGTAATAGATACTACTGTAAAACTGTTTATATTTCAACATCAAATAAAAAATAAACTCATCCAGGATCATCTGAATCTTTATTGATTGGTTACGTAAGCAACAATACAGTCTCAAAAGTTTGCATAGTCCAAACATGATGAAGATGCACAATATGATGGCTTTCCCTCCTCTCTTAATACTTTTCAAGGCATTTTATCATTTTATCAGTCTAGAAGATACATCCTACTTCAGATTTTTTTTCTTTATCAAGATTATATCGAAAGGGTTAATTCGTAGTTAAGTTAGTTTGTCAAAATTCGAAGAAATCGATTACTACGAATTTTTTGTCATATTTGTTACTATTCTGCGTACATGTTTTCTTCCTATTTTGACTTTAGTCGAACAATTTTAATTTACACCCAATCTCCGACACCTGCATTTAACCTATGGGATTTCATACAAGTATTACAAGAGAAATTTACCTCTCCAGACGTAACCACGCTAATAACAACTATTATGATAAGTTAAAGTAACGCATGTATAAGGATGGTCATCGGTCCTACCGGTTCTCGGTCCTGGACGGGTCAGTCCCAGGACTTGTAGGACCGGACCGTGGTCTTACATTTTTTTGTGAGGACTGACCAATCCTCATACCAGTCTTCATATAATAAATGATTTTATATTAAATTTAAAGCTAAAAAAACTTTTTTATTTGCAAAAAAAAAAGAAAAAAGACCGACGGTCTTATTGTGATACAGGACAGTCCTACACCAAGACGGACCGGTCCGTCTTTTTAAGATGTAAGAACGGTCTTTTAGGACCGATGCCCACCTTTACGCATGTACCTCTGTATTCGAATTATATTTGTCAACTGTTCTCTTCCGTTATCGAACACAGTTATTAGAGAACACAAAAAAAATAATTTAGAGTACTATTCTCTTTATAGAGTGGATTTAGCCAGTTTCACTAAATTAGTGTTTCGATCCGGATAAAACCTCAAATATTTTAACGTGGGATTATGATTAAAAGAGGTTACAAATTTCGGCTTTGAGTGGACTATAATTTCGGCCAGAATTAAAATAATATTATTCCATAAATTTTTATTAATTTTGGTGGTCCCAGCCCAAATTAACCGAGTCGGTATCCGGATAAAAACCGGATAAAACCGCTACGGATCGAAACTCTACACTAAATATTGATGAAAGTAATAATGGTTCAAATGGCAAATGACCCCGAATGAAATAATAATATGAATGTCAATTTAATACTTACCTTTGTGACTTAGTCATTTGAGGTCATTTGTCATTTGAGTCATTTAAATATAATGTTGTAATTTAGGCCAGACTTATGAAGCCAGCCGGAATTACAAATTTATAATGTCACTTGATACGATATATTCATCTAACGAAAATTGAATTAATTTTCAAATGACTGTCATTTGTCATTTAACCTCGAAATGACCCAAATGACACATGACTAATGATCTAGGTTATTTGATGTTATTTGGATCACTGAATTTCCATTTGCACATAGCTTTGGCCGCTTTGGCAATGTATACCGCACAATTAATCCACGACTTATCATATTTGTGTCTGAAACTCAGGAAGTATTATCCTGTGCCCTTTAAAAAATTTTATCCGTTATTTCTGTAAAAACTCCGTAAATAACGAGCCTTTCACGGATCCATTCACGGAAAATGTAAATAAATCGATAAATTACGTGATATAAGGTTATTAATTCCGGAAATATGAGCCTTTTACGGAAAAAATGGAATATAAAAAACGGATCGACTTTAGGGGTGACCACTACATATAGCCATTTAGCAAATTTCCTATGGAAATCTCGTAATTTTCCAAACAATTTACTTAATAAGCTTCGCCTATATAGAAATCGTTTATATCCCATGAAAAATGTCTACTTTGTAGTTTGTCATAAGAACAGCATAGGCGATGATACCCCGGGTTTTCAGATGATTACATCACCTTGTTTACATTCTAGTTGAATGATAACTGTTCGTTCTGCGTCTCTACTGTGAATGCATTTTGCATAAACTTTAATAAAGTTATTATAATTATTGATTAACAAAATTTAAAAACAGCAATTTATGCAAATTCAGAAAAATGACCCATTCAGGATATTAGGATTCAGGATATTGGGGAATAGGGATTCGAGAAATTGGATTATTCAGGAAAATGTCCAGTTCGGGTAATTGGCATTCAGGAAAATGTACATTCGGGAAAATGCCATTCAGAAATCGTATTGTAACCCATAGTCAAATAATATTTTATATTTTTTTCAGTTAATTTTCGATAACATTTACCACTTATTTGCTACCTATTTAAGATCATTCTTTTAATATATTATGACTTCGAAAAAGGGTGTTTTCACAAGAACATCTGATATCATGTCGGTCACATGTTAAAATCGCTGGCGATCACTTTTTGTAGACTATAATAAAGATATAAGGAAATTCATTTGGTCAAATAAGAGTCAAATCGATTTTATGTTGATAAATTTCGGCCCGAGCCCCGTAAAAGCAAATGTCAATCCTACACAATAAGGAGTTCTATAAAAAAAAATTCGATAAAATGAGTCAATGATGCAGATCATGGCTAGATCAAAGAACATGGATTTGCAATTACTTTATTATCGAAATTCTATTTAGAATCTTTCGCTTAGCCTTCGGTTAAAATAAGGCACTATCATAGAATTTTATGCACGTACAAAAATACAAACTCTTTTATAATAATGAATAATTTTTTAGATTTTCTACTTTCGAGTTTTTCCGCGTATATTATGGTATGATTTTCACAACAAATCCATGCAAAAAAATGTGAAATCTGACGCGCGTGCAATGTAAACTCCTTTTTTGAAATAAAATTTTTTCTTTTTAGCTTATTCTATTTTCGTGAGTTCTTTTGTGTATGAGATATAATGTTACAAGGCATCATTGAGTTTTCGCAATAGTGTATTTATTGCCAATTTACGTGTAAATGTCAAATTTAGCCCCGATTTTTAATATCTTAGACGAACCGGCAATTAATCTTACAACTTTTTAAAGTTTGATTCTCTAACACCATATTTTTAGTTTATTAGCGCAGAGAAAAAAGGCTAGAAAGGCATGACGTAAACACGCAGTGGATAAATTCAACATTTAAATGCAGATTTACCACTAGGATGGCAAAAGCGTTATTTATCATCCATTCTATAAACGAAGTTGAAAAAAGACCTTTGAGCTGACCTCAAATGAACCCGCTTTCTAATTCAATGTGATCGCACCAAAATTTTGACACTACCTAATATTTATTGAATAAGTAATACAATCAGTATTTTTGATATTTATACGTTAAATTTTTCTTGGTAAAAAAAATAAATGAAGAGCGTCGAAGGTAACTTGGTAGTTTATGAGTTAATATTATAAAATAATAGATTTGTCTTTATTTAAATAATTATTATAATTATTTCAAATATACAGTCAGTATATATAGTACTAAAGAATATAAAATAATAAAGAAATAATCAACTACAATTATAAATATTATAAAATAAATAAAATAAATTTAATTATTATTTATAAAATTATGAATATCTTATTCTGTTCTTCTTTTGAAGATTAAAGGTACTGGATGTGGACCTGAAGTTCCACTAACATCAGGTTCAATTTGTAATTTATCTTTATGAATACTATCTTCCGGTAAAGATATTTCATATTTTCTTACTGTTTGGTATATAGAAATTAGTTTTAGTAAAATTTTTAATAAAATAATAAAATTATTAAATCAAAAAAAAAATAACTTACATAAAGCACATAACATTATTCTTTGTTCAATAAGTGAGAAATTAATTCCTAAACATCTATTTATAAAAGAATAAAAAATTTTTTTTTTAGTTTGTAGATAAATTTCGAAATTTCATGTGTTATGCATGATTATCATATTCAACTTACATTCTATTACCGCCACCAAAACCTAACCAAGCATAATGGTCATGTTTTTCATCCTCAAATCTTTCGGGAATAAAAATTTCAGGATCCTTCCAATTTCTTGATGAATGATGAATTCCATAGATTGATAATATAATGGGCGTTTTTGCTGGAATTACATGATTGCGGAATTTAATATCTTGTGCACTAAACCTTCGAGGTAATTGTGCGACCTATATTTAAATTTTTAAAAGATCATTTATAAATGAAATTAAATTAAATGTTAAAAAGTCATTTAACACATACTGGAGGATATAATCTCAAGTTTTCATTTATAACCATGTTCATATATTTTAATTCTTTTTGTTGCTCTGCGCTTGGTGTTAAATCATCACCAAGAACACGTAATAATTCATCACGAACTTTTTTTTGCGCGTCCTTATTTTGATTAAAAAAAATATAATTAATTGTATAGTAGAAAGGAAGAATATTTGCATAAAATTCTTAAATTAATACCTTGTGAACGGCTAAAAGATATAAAATAGTTGTTAAAGCATTCGCGGCTAATTACATTGTTGGGTGTATAAAGATTTTTATGTTAATCAATGTAATAAAAATAATTAAAACAACGTATAATTAAAGTTCTTACTAGTATCATGACCAGCTAACATAAAAATTGCAAGATCATGCTACAAATAAAAAAGAATATTGATATTTAATAAAATTTCAAAGTTAGAAAAATCTTGTTTTAATTCATAATTCTTACTCGTAATTCTTCATTTGTCAAAGTTGGATTTTCCGGATCTTTGCAAGCATATATCATACGTTCTAACAGGTCAGCAGAATTATTATTTATTTTCTTTTCTAACTCATCCATTTTCATTGATTTACGTTTGCTTTCAACAATTTCATCATATAATTTATTAAGTTTTGCTATCTTCTTAGTTGCTTCAGAACGTGGAAGATTATCGAGGAATGAAAAAACAAAATATAATGGGTTTCTAAATTCTTCCATCACTTCTTTATAGGCAGTGACATATACGTTATTTGGATCTTCGAGATTCTAATTATTGATTACCAATAAATATAAATTAATCCCTTAAATTGATAACAAAAACATATCCTTAAATAAATATATATATATATTCTTACGTTAAAATCAAAGCCAAAAGCAGCTTTTCCAAGAACATCTAAGGTCAATCTATCAAATTTTACTCTTAGTTAGCAACTTACTTAGCAAATAAAGTTTACATTATATCTTTCCTTACCTATGCATAAGATTTTTAACTTCTATTGGTTCATTGTCAATCTTTTCTACGATATTTAACAATTTCGTGGCAGATTCAACAAATACATGTACCGGCAAATTTCGAAAAGAAGGATTTGCAATACGACTAAAATTATAAAGGGAAATCAATTATTTGTGTAATACTACACGTAAATATTAAGATAGTGTACGTACCGATGACGTTTCCATTCCTATATAAAATTTAATATCAATGATTAGCTTTAGTACACTTTGATTAAAAGTTTAAAATACTTGAACTATATTCTACTCACGTCTCCATTAGAAAATACTAAATTTACACCATAATATTGAGTTAATAAAGATTTTGGAAACGATTCTTTGAGTAAAGCTTTAGGATACAAATCTAATTCATAAAATATTTTATGTTAAAATCATGATAAAATTAACTAAATAAAGTTTTAAATATTTCCAACCTGTTTTCGTAAGTATATCTTTTACTAATTCCAAATCGGTTACCACGAGATCCCATTTCCCATCGAACCAAGCCTATTGAATTCTTTTCAGATTATGATTTAACGATAGAATGAATAACCATAATATTACTAACCTTTGCGATTCCTTCTTTCTCTAAAGTCTCACGTGCGTATTCCCAACGCTTATCTGGTCCAGCATTAATATATATTGTAATAAGAAAATCTAAAAAACTTAATGTCGGTACATTTTTAAGTCCTTTAGGTACTTTTGTTGATTGATAAAATTTAAAGGTTATAAAAGATACCACTAATAAAATGGCTGTAAGGACATTCATTTTTGTTAACAAATTGTTAAGGATTTAAAAAAAAATTCAAGTCTTATAAATTTAATTTATTTTGTCGCAGCAGCAGATCTTCTTTCATTTTAAATTATTAAATGGGATTAATAGCGGAAATATCATTTGTCAATCACTATTAAAAAAAAAAAAAAAAATCACGTCAATCACTATTTACCCAACTTAAAATTGCCGATCAGGAAAGTCAAGATCATCCATCACGTTTACAATTTTTTGATTTTAAATTCCACTTATAACTATAAAGTGATTATAGAAGGGGTATTTTACATATAAAAAAATCGGGACCAGAAATTGTGTGCCTTAAGAAGGGAAATAAAGGGGGTTGACACTAATTGAAATTATTATTAATAAAGATAAAAGCACTATGCCCATGTTTGCAGAAATGGTAGCGATTAACATTTTAATAAAAAATATTCGTCACGCAATAAAAATAAAAATTAAATTATTTTTAGAGATTTTTTTTTCAGGATATTATCACTTTAACATTCAGGTAACTAAATAAATAACTATATTTTCCTGGAAACATTTATTCACGAAAAAGTAAGAATATTAATATATTATAAACAACGAGATAAATTTAATAAAAATCAGCTAATTCAAAAATTTTCTAGAAAACATTTCTTTATGTATTTAGTATAAAAACAATAAAATAACCAAATGGAATAAATAATTTTTTGGCGAGACGTCCTTTTGGTGAAATATCCCTTCGGTAAATATCCCTTCGGCGAAATGGCTTCGGTGAAATGGGTTTCGGTGAAAAGGACTTCGGCGAAAAGTCCGGATACCTAAATTTTATAGACGAGCAGTATATAAATTAATCTTGTTGCGCTACAGGGTATCTGGACTTTTCGCCGAAGTCCTTTTCACCAAACCAATTTCACCAAAGGGATATTTCACCAAAGTGTCATTTTGCCGAAATGTCATTTCCCTAAGTGGACATTTCGCCGAATGGACATTTTGCCGAAACCCATTTCACTGAAACCATTTTACCGGAACATTTCGTAAATTTTTAATTTTCTTTTTTTTGAGTAGACAAACGAATTATTTAATACATTATATTACAGTAAGTCATGTTTATTTAAAAAAAATCATCATAAAATGAAAATGAGATAGTTTAAAGAGAATTTGTACTTTGAGTATGAATTGTTAATGACAAAGGAAATATGTTAATCACTAACATTTTCGGAGAATGTCCTTCGACAAAATGGACGATTTGGGGAAGAGGATTTGGCAAAATGGTTTTCGGCGAAATGAACTTTGGCAAAATGAACTTTGGCGAAACGTACCATAACCTAAAATTTGTACTCATGGCCTTTTTTCTTTCTCTACTAATCTTTTTTTACGTTGTTCAAGCACCTCAACTTCAAATACTGTATTTCCTGAAAAGAAGCCATTTTGATAAAGCTTTAACGATACTTCACATTATATTTATTGAAAATTGATGCATAGTATACGAAAGAAGTATATCTTATTTATAATTTATAATCAATATAATTAAATATTTTATGTATTAAAAATTTACTACAACTTATGTTAGAAATGGAGACAACTAAAAAAAAAATTACAATAAAAATGAACAATCAAAAAAACAATCTTTTTTTATTTGCGTAATTAATTATTAATTAATTAACAAGAAATTGACTTATTAGCAGGGGAGCAGGGGAGCTGCCATTCGATTCATTCATTGTGTTATAAGATAATAAGAACCATCTAAAAGCGGAAACCAAATAGTAAAGCTTTATTCACTAGTAAATTATTATTTTAAAAAAAAATTATTATTAAAAAAAAATCTATATAACTAAAAAAATTTGTCTGACGTTTGGATTTATAGTCTCCGTGTAAATAATTTGAATTGTGCAATTTGAAATCCCATGCCATATACTTTGCTATCAGTGGTGATTTTTTTGGTAGTATTTTATAATGCTTTTTAAATAATATTAATAGGAATTTTTGACATGTCATATAAATATCATATTTAATAACATATATATTAATAAGTCTATTAACAAGTATGATATTTAATATTAATATTGTAACTAATATAAAAGGATAATTGTTATATATTACAAAATTATTATTTTTTTACATTTCATTGTAATATGGTATTTTAATATATATTAAATTATAATAGCAATTATATTGTCAATTATTACAAAATATACATTACAAGATTATTATATGGTAATTAAAAAAATAGGCACTGATAGCTAAGTAATTAAAACCCGTGACAAGCCTCCGCCTGATCTATTTATGGTCAAAAACTATTCGATCCGTGTGCATTCCAATCAACTAATCCAATTTCAGTTAATAAAATTTTCCTTTTTTTCGGAAATTTCCCTTTTTTTTAAACTGATTTCCTTTCTTTATTCTTTTTCTTCCCCAAATTTTTTTATTATATTAAATATATTTACAAAATTATTATTTTTTTAAAAAAAATCAATATAACAAACATATCAGATATAGGAAAATTGACCAACACGAGTAAGATTTTTTCAATTAAATTAAACGCAGTTTGATTTTCAAATTCATAAAAATCAATTAATTATAAAATATGTAAAAATGTCAATTTTTTTTGAAGAAATTGTTGATTTAATAATAGATTATTATAACCAAATCCATATCCAAAATTGTCTAAATAACTATAAGATTTTTGAATAAAGATTTTAATTCAAATGGTTTAGTTAAATTAAGTACCAAAAGAATAATAATAAATGAAATGAATAGATTCTAATACATTTAATTATTCAAATATTTTTTTTAAGTTGGTTATAAGTTTAAGATTGACATAATATAAAATAAGAAATAATTGTAAAATTTATAATTAATTAAAAAAAAAATATTTGTAGTATTTTCATAATATTAAAGTTTTTCGAAAATATTTCTAAAAAATTAATCAAAAAAATGAGGGTGAATGAAAAAATAGGGAGATAAAAGGATAAAAGAAACGAAGGAGAGTGAGGGAGAAACGAAATGGAGAAAAGGGTGAGTGAAAGAAATAAAAGGAACGAAAAAGATCAAGTGGGAATGAAAAAAAATGAAAAAAATGGAGGGACGAAATGGAGCAAAGGGGAATAAAAAAAAATGAAAGGAACAAAGGGTAATGTAAAAAGAAGTGGAAATGGGAAAAAAATGAAAATGACAGAGGATAGTGTAAAGGAACAAAAAAGATGAAACGGGAATGGAATAAAAATGAAAGGAACGAAGGGTAGGGTAAAGGAATGAAAAGACGGAGAAACAAAGAGGAAATAAAAACAACAGAAAAAACGAAGGAAGGGAAGAATAAAAAGAGCAAAAAAAATGAAGAAACAAAAAGAAAACAAAAAATGGAGAAGGGACGGAAATGAGATAAACAGTAAAAACCAAACCCATAAATTAAAAGAAGAAATAAAGTTAGTAGGAAACGGAAATTACATGTAATAAATAAACAAAAACAAAAAAATAAAAAACATACCTTAGTAGTTATAAAGAAGAATCGAAAGACCTAGAAAGAATGAATTCAAAATGTAAAATGATCAGCACATTAATTTAGCCAATAAAATTTAATGTGAAAAATTATTAAATCGCCCAGGGTGAAAATACACTCAAACGTCAAATCATTAATATAAACTATATTATTCTAAATATAATTTATATCATTCTAATATTATAAATATAATTTAATACATGTTATTTATTATTTTTTGTTAACTAATTATTACCATATTAAATTCCTAATTATAAACAAAAAACTACTGTAACCATCTTTAATTTACTTAGTATTGCATTACATTATAATACTAAATTTTTCTATTTAATAAACAAACTCATTTGTCCTGGTGTATGACTGATAGTAATAAACTAATACTAAATTTTACTATAATCTAGATTCACTTTTTTAAGAACGATAAATCAGCTGTAAAATAGTGATATAGTGATCTGCAAATTTGTATACATCATAAAAAAAAAAAAAAATTATTAAAAAA